TTCATAAACATCAATTCTTAAGCTCTATAATACAAAAAAAAAAAAAAACTGGTAAAACAAAACTACAGGTATTGTAAACTAAAAATTTAAGTGCATTCTGAATAAACATTTAGTAAGCATTTTCTGATACATTTTCATTATTGATATCTGCACCTTGTGGCGTTCGCTTTCCACAACACATGTTAGCAGGCAAAAGTCCTGCATTTTAGTATTGTAAAAGTAATCAGACATTATACATATCTTGTTACAATACTTTTACATAATTCTATTTCTATTTAAAAATTAAGTAAATTAGTTGGTGCCAATAGCCTAGTGGTGCTGTGTGCCGTCATATAGCACTGACATGCTCAAGGTTCGATTTCCGGCTTGAGGTTCTTTGCCAATCCTACCCCTCCCTCTGCTTCCAATGCTTTCCTGTCAAAAATCCCAACTGTTCTATCATATTAAAGGTGAAAAAGCCCTAAAAAATAGTATTGTGGGGGAGTGGGGGTTGCCGCGGGGGCACTTTAGTGACAAGACAGTGACAAGAGTTTGTACCTTCTTAGATACAACATTGTACCATTTTTTATTTTTTTTTGAGAGTATAGAATGATTACAAAGATTTTCATTGTATAGACAAAACCAGTTGGAAACTTCTTCAAAATATCACCTATTATGGTTCATAAAGTTTGGAATGACACAAGGATGACAATATGATGATGGAATTGACTTTTTTTCTTTTTTTAAATGTTGGTCATCAAGCAGATGTCAGTCACTGATCAATACTCAACTGAGTCGATGCATTTTCCTCATTACCTGACAACGAGCCCACATAGACTTCACTTTACTTCGCTGTATGATAACCTTCTTGACACTGACAGTATCAATGAATGAAGTGGACTCGAGGGTCGATGCCTGCTCTGTGCTTTATGACAGACATGTTGATGTTTAGAGAATCAGCAGCCAGTGCTCGGGGACTCCAGTAATGTGCTTAATTTTTGATTGTTATCAGCTCACAGGGTATATTTAAGCACTTCTGCGGGAAAGCAAATTCATGCATGCTCTGTTTTTGGACAGCAAGGCTATCACGAGCATGACATGTTTGTGAAAATAGGGAGTGAAGCTAAACAGATTTCTGCGGAGGAGTTGAGAGAAAATTATCTCCTTAGCACAAGCAGACACTATATTGATAAAAATAAAACAACACTTTAAGACATTAATGTTCATTTATTCATTCATTTTCCTTTGGCTTAGTCCCTTTAGGGGTCAGGGTCGCTGCAGTGGAATGAATCACCAACTAGGGAAACACCTATCCACACTTATTTATTAACTGCGGCCAATTTAGTTTACCAAATTTACCTATTTTGCATGTATTTGGACTTCTGGGAGAAACTGGAGAACCTGGAGGAAATCAACACGAACACAGGGAGAACATGCAAACTCCACAGAGAAACTGACCCATCCGGCACTTGAACCAGTGACTTTCTCATTGTGATGTGACAATGCTAACCAATGAGCCACCATGTTGCCTGAGATTAGTGTTTAGTCATATGTTTTTAAAAGCTTTTAAAATAATTAGAAAAAAAAATCCATATGATTTATTTGGTTAAAAGACATGATTGTTTTAATTTATATGACGAAAAAAATAATTTAGACCTTCATTTACAGATAAGCATTGACCAGCAAACCATGTTTACAGCATTTAAACTTTTGTTATTGGAAACTAAAGCAAGCTTGCTTTACACATATAAACCAATGAAGTTGATTAGTGTCTCACAAGAATATTACAGTTTCATCAAGGACCAACGAGATTTGTTCTGGCACGTCAAGCAGTCATAGTTTAGTTTCTGATGTTGTTTGCTTGTCAGTGTTTATAAGTGAATAAAAAACTCAATTAAATGTGTTAATCATATGAAGTGATTATATCTTTTCAGAAGACTTGGACTGAACCAACTAATATAGATTTTATAGATTTGGAAAGACATAATGTGTTTTTTTTTTCATTTCGAGCGAGCTAACCATTTAAGGTCTATGCATAATTTCAACAACATATTTTTGAGCTTCTATCCACTGCAAATGTTTTCTACATTTGTTTGTTTAAACAGTTATACAATAGTAGGACCATTATTTTTAGTAAACCTTTAATTTGCATAAAACTAAATTAATTTATAAGGCCTACTGAATGTGTTGTACTTCTATCACTCAAAGCCTCGTTATTGTCCATGTCACAGTAAATTTAATGTCAAAATTTAAGAACCTTTTTCTTTTGAGCTATATTTAATTTATTTATTTTTATTTATTTATTTATTTATGTATTTTTTGTCTCTTTGTTTTTTTGCTGATTAACACAATTCTAGTATTTTGGGACAACTTAAATGTTTTAGGTCCTTTCCACTTAACTTTGTAAAAACAATTAAAGAGCACCTATTTTACTTCTTTTACAAGATGTAAAATAAGGCTTCTCCAGAATATGTCAGTAAAGTTTCAGCTCAAAATACCCATGGGTGTATTTATTATAGCCTCCAGAATTTGCCAATTTTGGTGTCTGAGTTTATCTGTTTTTGTAGCCAGTGGCTTTAAATTCAAATGAGCTGCTTTTCCCCGCCCAACGCTCCAACGTGCATGTCTGCTTTTATGTGTTACGTCAGATAAACAGCCATCAGTGATAGAGTCACGGATGAAGCTTAAATATAGTCACTAGTCAAAATTAACAATTAAGTTTATTTGATGTATTTGTGGTGGAGTTTATTTAAGCCTTTCTGAAATGATGAGTCACACAAATGCTGTATGCAGTACACACACACACACACACACACACACACACACACACACACACACACGTATACATGTGCATTTACTGACAACATGTGGCCATGGTGATTATAGCAGTTAACCCTCAGGTGTCGAAGACCGCATATACGTGTTTTTAATGTCGAAAGTAACTTCATTTACACTTTCAGTTTTGATTGTGCAGATAAGAGCAACACATTAATCAAATCTGTTAGGTGTCTGCTATTTTTGTGTACACTCACAATAACAACAAAAGTGTGTGCTTTAGCAAAATAAGAAAAATAACCAGTGTAGGCATCCTTTCTTGTCTCTCTCCGCGAATTGTTTTTAGAATCGCGTCAGTAAAATGCACCGAAACTCCGCGAAAACAAAACACACATACATGACACATAGATCAATAGAAAGCTCGAAGTGTCTACTTTTAAATGCAGTTATGCATGTTGAAAACAAATATTGCTTGATAAAATAATCAGTAAACCAACACTATGTCTAGTTTCTCAGTCTGAGCTCATTATATTTAATGCGGCCCCACACACTAGGCTTAATATTACAATGTTCCATATTAGACAAGGCTCCATGTAAACAGTGGTCAGAAAAAGCAGCAGAATATCCACAAATACATGAGAGACATACCCGCATAAAGCTTGGAACGTTCACTTTTCAACTAATTTTGAAAACAAATGTTGTCTCGCTACAACAATGCCTGAACTTACCCACAGACAAACACAGCGCAAAAGATAGACAGGTCATTTCATTTTCATTCAGGAATAAATTGAAATTATGACTCATTTAACCTCACAGTCTTAAAATATTATTTTGACTCAAAGTAATAGTTTTTTTATTTTTAAAATACTATTTATTCTTATGTTTAAAGCTTTTGTTACGCTACTTCAGTGCCTCAGAGTTATTCAGAAATTATTAGGCAATGCATTTTGTTGCATTTAAAAAAAAACTGATTTATTACACTGATATATTTATTAAAATAATGTGAGAGGTGAACTTATATATGCTGAGCACTGTATATTGTTTTTCCAGGGTGTTTGCATGGTCATACAGCAAGTAATACAGCAAGCATTTAGTTTGGGCTAGCTTCTGCACATGTACATTGCTTTACAATGCCCTTGATTGGTCAGTGGGGGAGTGTCTTTTGTCTTTCCAGGTGTGAATTATTCATGACCATCGTCACTCAGGCATAGAGCTGAGATAAGCCAATACAAACCTAACAAAAAGTAAATCTTTGTAATGTTTTCTTTGAATGAGAGAACAAAATAAATGTCACATATTTGTGAAGTAAATACTTTAGCCTACATGACTGGTTACTCAAAAGTCTTGTTCATGCAAATTCAGTGTGTTTATTTGGATCTTTTTTTTTACTACATTTTTTCCCCAAAACCTACTAACCACGCAGACTTTTTTTTTTTTTTCAAAACAATTGTCACATATTAGTGTAGCACAGTTTGTGCTGAATACAAATAAAATACATGTTGGCCAATACTATATATTAAGTAGCTGAAATAAGCATAAATGTCAGGGCATGTCAAAACATCTTAGAGGCCCCAAAGTAACATCAGACCCCTGAGGGTTAAGAATTACATAGTGATTTAATTTTCTTTATTACAAACATGCACTGTTTAAAAAAGTTATAAACTTATAAAATTATTTATTGAGATGCAGCTAATCACAGAGTGTTGTAATGTGTTTTAATCCCAGTTTCCTTGCAAAAAGTGTTCTGTGGACGTGTGTATAGATGTTATTATGGAGACAGGGCACCTTTCAATCAATTCGGTGGGCGGGGAAAACCGCACTCTTACATCACGTTGCAGTGGGCCTCAAAATCACTGAAATTTAACTGTGCTAGTTTAACGTCAGTAAAATTTTAAAAAGAGACTTGTGTTTCACACCAATATGACAGTGGACACACTATACCCATACACAGTTCTGTCTAAACAGCTTACAAATGTTGATTTTATCATAGCTGCCCTTTAAGTTAACTTAATTGATTTGTATTGGGACAACATGAAGGGATTGTGTGGAACCCAGCATTTTTATAGTGTACACTCCTAAAGCAAATTAAATACGTGTATTTTCAACCTGAGAAGAAAACACCTTTTTTTACCAGCACCTCTTCTCTTCACTGTGTTGAATTTAATCAGTCTCGTTGTATAATAAGCAATTAAAATCTGAAAGAGCAATTACCATCTAAAAGAAGTTCCCAAACAATTCTCCCTCACCTGTGGGCTGAACTTTGACCGACGTCTTCTCTGACTCTTTCCGGGTCAGTGCGTACCAGGAGCGATCGGGGTCCTGGATCCATTCGGAGGCCTCGCAGTAAAACTCGCCCTGATCTGAAGGCTGAAGTTTATAGATGGTGAGACGGTAAGAAGTGGCACTGGTTTTGTCCAACCGCAGATCTCCAGAGGAAAGACGCTGACGATACTGTCCACCGGGTCGTAGAACAAAGTCTCGTGATAGAGTGACCAGATCACGTGGGCCAGAACTCGGGTCGTCAGTGGGACGCAGGAACCAGCCTACAGACACGTGAGTGTGCTGGGACGTCTGGCGTGTGACTTCACAACTCAGTTGTAGGGTGTCTCCTTCCACTTTGGCGAGGGTTTGAGCAGCAGCCGTCACTGCCAGAGAGTCCGGTATCACTGTGGAGAAAACCAGGAGAAGAGGTTTGAGAGTGAAGTTCATGAACAACAAAACACATCCTGGAAGCCACCGGGTCCATGTCTTATTAACATTTAAACAGGATTCTCTCCTGCAGGGGACTCAATCTCAGCCCTTTTATTAACTTATAGCCTCCAGAAAAAAAAACAAGCCTCTTTTTTTGTTCTCAACAACCTCTTGCTCTTCTCATCCGGTGACAGCCTGTAGGTCCTTTTTTTTTAGAAAAAAATATGGCAGATTTTTTGGAAAAACACAGAAACACTGTAGCACAAACTGATTTATGTGCACTGTAGCACAAACTGATATATGTGTGTTTTCTTAGATCTGAAATGTACTCCGCACAAGTACCTTGAAGCAAATTATTTATGCTACTATCCAATGCATCAGTGTTAAAATTTGAGCTGAAATTAAGAAGATTTTTTTTTTATGATTGGTAACCTATTAATTATTACAAAATTTATAAAAAATTATTACTTAAATTAGCACATTAATTTAGGCATCGCCAATTTGTCATGAACAACATGAAATATGGAAATTCAATATTCAACATTAGTAAATGAGCATGCACAGTTAATTATGCAATAGTTATAATTATACAATAAAAAAGAAAAGTCTAGTATAGTAGTCATCATATATATATATATATATATATATATATATATATATATATATATATATATATATATATATATATATATATATATATATATATATATATATATATATATAACAGTTCTGTCTGGCTCTCGAATTTGATTGGCTTATAGCCATGAGATATTAACGTAATATCAGCACTCGTACAGCCTCTTCACCCTTGTGTATTACTTCGCCCACTTGAGTGGCAAGCAGAGGTCTACAGTTTGACAAATATTGCGCTGTTGGACAACATAACGTACTTTTGAGGCTTTTCAGACAAAAATGTAGTTGTTAAGATTGTAAGTGTACAGTTTATTTATAAGAATAGTGCCAATTTTAAATATTTATAATTTTGGAGATACAGTGCGTCAGCATCCATCAACCTGTCATACTGAGCAGAGCAAAGATGGTTGATGTTGTCCATCCACAAGATTGCGACAGAGACAGCATAATGAGAAAAACAGTGTAATTTCTAACTGAAGCTGATCAAATCATCATTAAACTGGTAAGTGACATTCTGAGTCAATCTCTCTCTCTTTTGTATGTTGTAGTGTTGTTTTTTATATGATAGTAATTGTACTGTATTGAGTGTGAGATGGAATATCAGGAATGTGTGTATTTTGTGTTGGCCACTCTGTGCAACCCAGAGTTACTTTTTGGTTAGTCATCTATTTGTTTCTAATAAGTCTCCTGCTTTTGTTACTGCAGACTAGTTTAGTAAAAAGAAAGAAAGAATAAATGGCCACATGTGTTTAGCGTTTTTCCTCATCGCAAACACAACAGTAATCTGGTAGTGTTAGCGTTGCTTTGGCTTTTTGGGGGTTAATTATTGTGATATCCCGATTGCAACAGAGAAATACTGAGAAATGCCTCTAGACTGATGGCATTTCATCCCGTTTAGCCTTATATTCTTAAAATGTGAGCAAAATCACTTGTTTTGTCATCACTTTAGACATTATGCTAGAGAATCATTTAAATACTAGCTCTAAAATGACGTTGGTGAATTAGTAATGGTTTCTGCTGTTCTGACGTCAGGTGCAGATGTAAATGAATGGCTGAAGAAAATAGTTCTTCATTCAAAAGGATTTTTAGATATTCTTTTTTTGTATACATGATTATGTAGTCGATCTGTTGTATAAATCATAATACAAACTGTTGTATGGGAGAAAAAATTGTAATATAAACTGTTGTTTGGCTGCACATCGCCAACACATGCCTCCCACCAGTGCCGATATATCACACTGCTACAAGTGTGATATGGCTCATATATATATATATATATATATATATATATATATATATATATATATATATATATATATATATATATATATATATATACAGTTGAAGTCAGAATTATTAGCCCCCCTTTGATTTTTCCAGAGCAAGGACATTTTCACAGTATGTCTGAAAATATTTTTTCTTCTGGAGAAAGTCTTATTTCAGCTAGAATAAAATCAGTTTTTAATTTTTTTATAAACCAGTTTGAGGTTAAAATTATTAGCCCCTTTAAGCTATTTAATTTTTTTCCGATAGTCTACAGAACAAATCTTCATTAGACATTAACTTGCCTAATTACCCTAACCTGCCTAGTTGACCTAATTAACCTAGTTAAGCCTTTAAATGTCACTTTAAGCTGTATAGAAGTGTCTTGAAAAATATCTAGTCAAATATTATTTACTGTCATCATGGCAAAGATAAAATAAATCACTTATTAGAAATGAGTTTTTAAAACTATTGTGTTTATAAATGTATTGAAGAAATCTTCTCTCCTTTAAACAAAAATTGGGGAAAAAAATAAACAGGAGGGCTAATAATTCAGGAGGGCTAATAATTCTGACTTTAACTGTATATATAATCAATTTAATAAAATAGCTTTATTCGTTATTCTAGTTTTAACTTTAGAATTTTTGTCCTAAAAACTTCACATTTGAATTCATTTTGTTTTCACTACATCACACACATTTTTATTTAAGTTGTATTGCAATTAACAGAAGCAATCTGCAATATTTACTTCATAATAAAAAAGTAACACAAAACCAACAATAGCAACATTGGCTCAATATTGCAACATCATGTTCCAAAATGTGTCAGGCTGCAATACAAGAACTCAGTGTATCCGCAGCAGTGCCACGAGGGAAGCTACAGGTGTAACAGAGAAAATCAGTTCAAATCAATATGTTTATACAGTAGCAGCTTTAAGGCATGGCTGTTTAAATATTAATGCATCAGAGCACTATGAGGGTTTGCGAGAGCATATATTGAGTATGCGTTTGTCTACATGGCTTGGTATTTCAACTCTTATGGGTTTTTGTCTATATAGTTGTTACCTTTCTCTTGTGTACAGTGCCATAGGCTCACATAGTAGTAAACAACTTGTTGCAGATGCACATGTTGGCGTAAAGCTGAGGAAGCATGAAAACAGAATAGACCAGTGACTTCAGATAAGCCAAACACAGATTTCATGGACAGCTTGCTATGTAAACGTGCCACCCGAACCCACGCTCAGCAACGAGGCTTCCCAGCGCATCCCTGACACCACGCTTCAATTCCTTAGCACAGAGTCCACACGACATGATATTCTGCATCCCATTACCGCTAGATATCTTCGTGGCGCTAGCATTGATTAGCAGCAGTCAGATCTTCAGCCAGGGGGAAACATCACGTCAGCACCCTGCTCTGACATCACCATGCTAGAAATATGTTTTCATAACAAACCTAAAATGGAGGAAATAAACCTGTGTGACATCCCGCAAAACTGCAGCCACAACATTTATCTCAGCGAGGCGCTGACAGCGCCAGTGGCTCAAGTTTCTTTTTTTTTCTTTTTTTCCTGTAGTTTTTTTAAAGAAAAAGCAGACGAGAAAATGTATAAAGTCCATCTAGATGCACTAATCTAGATGTTGGCCATCTAGATGTTGGCCCATAAAACTCATCTTTGAATTCAAAAGATATTATGAATTTACAGATAAATTTGCACATGGTTTCTTTTCAAGCATATTTTGAGCATTCAGAGATATAAATAACACTTTAAAAATAAAAGCAGGTGGTCTTAAATGATACCTAAATAAAAATAAAAGAAAATAAATAAAATAAATAAATAAAAGAAAATAAGGCGATGCGGTGGTGCAGTAGGTAGTGCTGTTGCCTCACAGCAAGCAGGTCGCTATTCCGAGTCTCGGCTGGGTCAGTTGACATTTCTGTGGGGAGTTTGCATGTTCTCCCCGCATTTTACGTGGGTTTCCTCCAGGTGCTCTTGCTTCCCCCACAGTACAAAGACATACAGTATAGGTAAATTGTCCGTAGTGCATGAGTGTTAATGTGTGTGCATTAAGGATGGGAAGATTTTTTATTTATTAGCAAGTGTTGTCAACCTGTTTTTGGCGCATAATTTAATCGACCTACATAAAGTATGCATTAGCAACGGACTTGCGGATGTGTACACTTACACTACAACTCAGTGTATCAGGTGTGCGGATGAAGCTAGTGGTGCGCCCTCAGAAAGCGCGAGAAGCAAAACAAACATTTTATTTCTCACTGAGTTTTAAATCTAAAGTATGGCAACATTATGGATTCTGCAAAAAGGATGGACGACTTGACAGGACAGATGCAATTTGCAAAATGTGCCGCGCATCTGTAAAATACACGGGCAGTACGACTAATCTGAAATCTCACTTGAAGTGGCGCCTCTGTGTTGTTGTGGAAGCATCTTCCAGTGTTCCTGCATCTCCGGCTTCCTGCTCTGCTTCAACTGTAGCTACCATCTCCAAAAATGGTGAGAAAAGCATTGAAAGTTTTCTCCATGCGCAACAGTTCTGCTCGCTCTACGCCAATAACGAATGTTATTGCATTGTTCATCTTCAAAGATATTCAGCCTAGTGTCACAGAGAACGAAGGTTTTAAACACCACCTCCTGTTAATTTTTATTTATTTATATTTTTATTAGCCTGTTGTTTATAGTGATGTTTCAAAGCAGCATAACACTGCTAGTTCACGACCTTAAGTTTTGAATATTCAGTGGCACAATATATATTTGTAAAACTTGTTTTCATAGTTGAAAAGTTAAATCACAATTGTTGTTGTGCAATGGTAAACCTTTATGTTGAAAGAGTGCAAATATATATATTTTAATATATATTGCACTTATACATTCTGTTTATCTTGAAAATACTTAAATAATATGTGCTATAGGTTCTAAAATGGCCCTCTACTGTAAACTGACACTCTGGCTCTGAGAGAAAAGCCAGTTTGTAAAAAAAGTCTTGGTTTTACTTGGTTAATAAATAAATAAACTCATTCAATGGCACATTACATCATCTCATAAACTTGATCTAATAAGTTAGTG